CACCCACCCTGAAGAGTCGACCCTTCCCCAGTTTGCAAAAAAGAAGAGGAAATCTGCTTTGCGTCCCTCGCCCCCTTCCCAAGACCCTGCGCCTTTCCGACTTACATTGGGACCCATGGTTGAGCCCCCCCCCTCCCCACCCCCCATGGGACCACTGACCTTAGAGTGGCAGAGAAACCCGAAGCCCAAAAGGACTCCAGCCGGCAGCAGGATCAACCCGAAGACCGCTCCGGCTAGGAGGAGGTTGAGCGCTCCGATGAGAAGGTTTTGCAAGGTGACCAGCACGGCACAAGCCCAACAATCCAGGGACCCACGGAGTTCCAGAGCCCCCTCCCCGGCATAAGGAGGGGGGGTCAGCGGCGAGGTCCCAGGGGCCCCTCCCTCGCATTCCAGGGACCCCGGCCCAGGCTTGGGGGAGCTGAAGTCTAAGCTCATCCTGGTGGCTTCTTAAACTCTCTGGTTGGGCGCGCCTAGGCTTTTATAGTCGCTCCTCCTTCCCCACCTCCCCAACCAGGATAAGCTAGGAATGCACAAAGACACACACACACACAGTCAGACACACAGAGTGCAACGCACGCAGCTCCAGCTGGAAAATCCGACCCTTCCCCAGGATGCTCCTAAGAGGCAGACGCCCCCACCCCTCTCCCAGCAGGGGAAGGGTCTTCTCCTCCCCTCTGGATTCCAGAGATGCTTCCCTCGGCCACCCACCCACCCACCCCCTCTGCCCAAAATGGCACAGAGCCCCCACCCCCCAACACCTAGGCCAGATGTTGATGCTTGGGTGGGAGGAAAAAAGACAACCCACCCCCACCCCCATTTTTAAATCAGGGGGGGGGGGAAGAAAGAGAACCCATCTGGAGAGGCTCCAAAGAGGCCCCTGAAATTTTAGGGTGCCGGTTTATAGGGCAAAAGCATGAGCCTGGGGTTAATTGGGGGAACAGGAAGTGAGGGGGGGGGTCCTAGAACCCAGCCATCCGGGTATGGGACTCCCAAAGCAGAGACACCCCCCACTGCATTGGAAATCAAGATTTTCCAGGTTGAAAAGGCCTCCCTTTCCCATGGGAAGACCCCTCCCCACAATGCGTCCCCCCCTTTTTTTAACAATGGGGTTAGGATGCCCCACATGAGATCAGCAGCTGATAGATTAAAACGCCAACAAAGAGGAGGAAAAGGAGGAGAGGAAGAAGAATGGGAAGGAGAAGAAAAGGAAGAATAATAAGGTGAAGGAGAGGAGAAGGAGAGGAAGTGGGGGAAGAGAAGTGGAGGAAGAAGGGGGAAGGGGAGGAGGAGGAGGGGAGGAAGAAGAGGAGAGGAAGAATGGGAAGGGGAGGAGGAGAAAAGGAAGAATAAGGNAGGTGGGGAAAAAAAAAACATTCCAGGATGATCCCTGAATTGTTTCAACTTCTACCCTCAAAGCGAGGCTAAAAAGGCATTGCACACCAGAACAATTGGACAGAAGGATGGTTTTTCACTCTGCCCAACAACCAATTCCCACAACACCGTTAAAACTATTTAGTAAGGCTGCGTTACTATTCTTCTCATCCTTCCTATTACCTGCCTCCTTTTCTGCTTAAGACTGTAACTTCGTGGCTTGCATCTTTACGATTTATGCTGTTTTATTTAGCTTCCTAGTATATGGTTTATGTTGATGCCTTATTTAGTATCCTATGCCTATCACTAAGTGTTGTATCTTAGGATTCATGGTGTATTTTTTATGGTGACGATGATCATGATTAATCTCTTTTATGTACACTTTGGCTTATGCACCGAAGACAAACTCCATCCAATCACATAATTCTATTCTATTCTATTCTATTCTCAATATTTTAAATTCTATTCTAATTCTCTATTCTATTATATTTTCGATATTCTAATTTCTATTCTAATTCTCTTATTCTATTCTATTATTCTATTCTATTTTCTATAGTCTAAATTTTATTCTAATTCTCTATTCTATTCTATCCTATTCCATTCTAAATTCTATTCTAAATTCTATTCTATTTTCTATATTCTAAATTCTATTCTAATTCTCTATTCTATTCCATTCCATTCCATTCTAAATTCTATTCTAATTTGGAATTCTATTATATTCCATTCTATTCTAAATTCTATTCTTAATTCTATTCTAATTATTCTATTCTATTTACGATATTCTAATTTCTATTCTAATTCTCTATTCTATTCTATTTTTGATATTCTAAATTCTATTCTAATTCTCTATTCTATTCTATTATTCTATTCTATTATTTTCAATGTTCTAAATTCTATTCTAATTCTCTATTCTATTTTCGATATTCTAATTTCTATTCTAATTCTCTATTCTATTCTATTATTCTATTCTATTTTCGATATTCTAAATTCTATTCTAATTCTCTATTCTATTCTATTCTATCCTAAATTCTATTCTAATTCTCTATTCTATTCTATTTTCGATATTCTAAATTCTATTCTAATTCTCTATTCTATTCTATTTTCGATATTCTAAATTCTATTCTAATTCTCTATTCTATTATTCTATTCTATTCTATTTTCGATATTCTAAATTCTATTCTAATTCTCTATTCTATTCTATTTTCGATATTCTAAATTCTATTCTAATTCTCTATTCTATTATTCTATTCTATTCTATTTTCGATATTCTAAATTCTATTCTAATTCTCTATTCTATTCCATTCCATTCTATTCTATTTTCGATATTCTAAATTCTATTCTAATTCTCTATTCTATTCCATTCCATTCTAT